AGACCAGGCTGGTCTCAAAATCTGAGATCCGCCTTGCCTTTGCTTACCAACCACCACCCAGGTAGGTTTTCTTTTTTCAATATTTTTAAATTACATTTCTTTAGCAAGAAAGGAGAGAGAGTGTGTGGAGCAAAGAGGACAATTTGCAAGAGTTGATTCTCACCGTGTGGGTCCCCAGGATCAAGCTGCCTGTCAGGCATAGTGGCAAACGCCTTGACTGGCTGAGTCATCTTACCAGCCCAGTTACTGAGTTTTGAGAACCAAAGCAGTGTTTTTTAACCTAGTTTTCTCTTCTATTTTCCTATAGGAAGTTTTTTTTTTTTCTCCATCTTATCAGAGATTTTAAACTTAGCAGTCTGCAGGATTAATCTCCAAGGTGTGTGGAGTTCAGTAGAGTTTGTAAATTTTTGGGGAATCTCAACTGTGGGTGTAGGCTTGTTAGTAGTAGTACCTGTGACTTAGAAACTAGTAAATCTCAGATTTTATCAGCTGTTAGACACAGATTGAAATTGTCACCATTTCAAAAATCACTTTGGTTATTATACTGGCACTTAACAATGTCTAATTAAAAAAAAGTGACAGTTGTAATTTTGATATATTTTTATGCATCTATGCATTTACTTTTGTTTTTAAAGGATAGGGCTCACTTTGTAGCACAGGCTGGTCTTGAACCCACTATGCAGATTACAACTCTTCCTCCAGCCTCTGGAGACTGGGATTACAGGTGTGCCCTGCCATACCCAGTTTAAAAATGTATTCTGATGAATTCTACAGGTATTGCCAAACTGCCCCAGGAATCTGACACCCCTTAGGGGAAGCATTACTTTTGTTCCCCTGGAGAGTGAGGCTAGCCAGACCTATCTATAAAGCTACACGGCAGAGAGACCTTGTCATAGGGTTATATAATCATAATGTCACAGGTTAAGTCACAAATTCAGGTAGAATATTTTTCAATTAGAAAATGTAGATGCCACCATTTAAATGGACATCTTAATTTGACTTGGGTTTTCTGGCCCTGTTTCCAGTAGGTTCACATGAGCAAATATACTTCACATTCATTGAAACATCCTATTCAGCAGCTCAGCTGGAAGAACCTTTAAAGAGGTCATTGAACCTTAGCCTTGAAATCCTTACAGATTAGAAGCACACATCCTTCCTTCAGCCTCTTCTGATTGTATTAGTACTTACTCTTAGCACTCTGTCACTTAGAAACCTCAGTTGAGTAGAAGGAAGACAAGTGGTTTAATAATTACTCTAATTTGAGGAAAATCAGGTACTCATTTGCAAATTGTATATTTCTAATAAAAAAAAAACCCAGTAATTATTTTAATGACAACATAGTGTGAGGTTTATATCATCAGTAATTAGGAAGGCTATTTAAAGGCTGGGCATGTGGTTCAGTGGGTGAGTGCTTGCCTAGTGTTCAGTGTATTTAGCAGTAAGTCTTTTACGAAAAAACACTCATGATTTAGAACAATATCACACTTGAACTGACACATAAAAAAACTACTACAGTATTTATCTTTCTGGATCTGATTTACTTTATTCAGCAAGTGTCTTTGGGGTCCATCCATGACACAAATGACAAGATTTTCTTTTTGTTTTTATTATTTAGGCTTAAATTATTGTATGAATGTGTGCATGATGTATATATGTAGGCATATATGCTGTGGCATTCACGTGGAAGAGAGGACAACTTTGGAGTTAGCTTGCTGAAGATTCTAGGGATCAAATTCAGATAGCCAGATTTGCTTGAAAGTACCTCTACCCACCACACCGTTTAGTGTCCTAACACCAGTGTCAGCTGGGCATGGTGGTGCATGTTTTCAATCCTGCTATTCAGGAGGCAGAAGCAAGTAAGAGTTTGTAGAGGCAAGCTTACATTTTGTGTGGTGTTTCTTTATGCAGTATGATTAAGACTATACGTGTTGTAATTGATGAGTGTTTTGTGAGTCAGATCTAGTAGTCATCTACTTTTCATAGGTGGTTTTCCTTTTTTTTCCCCCTTTTTTGGTTGGGGGATGTGAGGCAGTAACTGCTGGGGACTAAACCCAAGGCATGCTAAGTGTACATGTTAAGTATGCTACTGAGATACACTTCCAGCTTAATTCATTCATATTCTCTCTCTCTCTACACTTGTTTTTTGTTTGTTTGTTTGTTTTTGTTTTTCGAGACAGGGTTTCTCTGTGTAGCCCTGGCTGTCCTGGAACTCACTCTGTAGTCCAGGCAGGCCCCGAACTCAGAAATCCGCCTGCCTCTACCTCCCAAGTGCTGGGATTAAAGGCATGTGCCACCCCCCACCCCCGCCCCCTGGCCTCTCTACACTTGTATGTACAACACGGAGCTAGATCAAAACAGTTAAACAGGAGGCTATCATGTTAAATCAGTCTTATGGATCTGAGTGTCTGAATTTGAAGCCTGAAACTGGTTTATGCTTAGTAATATACATTGAGCTTTAGATATATTCTATATCTTTTACATTTCACAACCTGTCTGCTGACCCCTTTAGGAAGTGGAATGGGAGTTCAGGGAAATTAATAGTTTCCTGGGGCTTTTGTAACTTTTCTGGAGAGAGTCCAGGGCATGGGGTTGGAATACAACTTTGGCTTTCTAGATCACACCTGAACCACTGTGTTTGTGTGGGAGAATGTACATGTGATTATGGGTACCCTCAGAGCTGGGTAGCCTGGTGCTTATGAACCACCCAGTGTGGGTGTTGGCAGTCAAACTCAGGTCCTTTGTAAGACTAGTATGTGTTCCTAACCACTGAGCTATGTCTCTAACCCATTGGTGTTTTGTTTTTTTGTTTATGTGAGGGTTGTGTTGTGTTGATCTGGGTATTTTGGAAATCACTCTGTAGACCAAACTGGTCTCAGAAGGTAGAGATCCTCCTGCCTCTGGCTCCCAGGTGATGGGATTAAGTATGTTACCTGCCCTCCCACCTCAGTGCAGGTATTTCTGGAATGCCCCACTATGCTTAGCTTCTGTGACCTCTTAGGAGCCACATCTTACCATTCTGTCACTTGTTTTTTAACCCCCTGTTGCTTTAAGGCAATAACATTTAAACTGCGTGACTGCTGCACATTCTTAAGATTAAAATCTTAAAACTTTTGTTCTATCATTCAGCCTCTGAATTCTACCATGTGAGGTTAATATGTGTTCCCTTTTCCTGAACTACAGGCAAAGAGTCTAGTCCTATAATTTTCTTTTGGGATAAGGCCTTCTGTGTAAGGAAGAAATGCTGGTAGTATAAATGGAGACTTTTAAATCAGAATGTTATGTTAACTGTAACAATTATTTGTCAGGTGGTAGAATTGTGTTGAATCTGTTTCTGGGTTTTTAAATGTTTGCCGTCTTGCCCCCCGGCCCCCCAAAAACCCCTATTTTGGTACTCATTTATTTGTGAATCTTCCTAAAGCTACTTGAAGTTGAGTTGTAGATTCTGTAGAAAAGCTTTTAACTTGATGAGGCAAGTCTTCATAACTGAAAATTAGAGCTGCCTTTTAAATGGGACAAACCATAGCTGGCAGCTAAGCACAACACGTCCAGCACGTATTGCTGTTCTAGTCAGGGCTTGATGTGTTAGACAGCCGTGTGTGTGTGTGTGTGTGTGTGTGTGTGTTCTATTTCGTATATGTAAATACTCCTGAGGTCTTTTTAGTAGTTCTTTGGAAAGTTTTAAGAAGTCTTTATGCTCAGATAAAGGAAAGAGAAAATGAGTACCTGGAGCACTTGTACTTCGCAGATTTACCAGCACACCTATGTTAGTAGCTTTTTTTTAATTCAGTTAGGTACAACGTTCAAGAAACCTTGGCTTATATAAAGATGTTTTTATCTGGCCTGAATGAAATTTTCCTACAACATATCTCCATTTCCCCCACACCCCCAAAGGCTTGTTTGTTTAAAATAAATAAATAAATAAATAAATCCAGAGCCTTAATATTTAGATAGAGCTAAATATGGTAAAAGCCATATTTTCTAAGAACACAGGTACCCGAGGGATTTGTCAACCTACGCCTATTACTATAGAAGTGTGCAGTTTACTCATCCCATGTTGTGCTGGGGTTCACCGTCCCTTGGAGTAAAAAGCTGGATCCTCAAAGGAAGGAAAAATTTGTGACTACTTAGATCTAGGGAGAGCCTGAGTCAGAAATCAGAGGTTTCTGGGGTGGGGGAGGGAAGGAAAAGCAGATATCATGTCTTCTCTCTTAGGTAGCTGTACACATGTACATAAAACATGGAGGCAGAGTGGAGATTGGGAAGAAGGGGATAGAGTGACAAGAGAAAGGGGGTGCAAATATGAGCAAGTTGTGTGAAAAATATCAGTGACACTCATTATTTTATACACTGATAACAAAATTTGGTATTTTTAAAAAATCCTTATAATTCCAGCACTTGGAAGCTATGAGCAGAACCAGGAGTTTGAGGCTAGCCTCAAACATATAAGAGTTTGAAGTCAGCCTGGACTGTGTGATTTTCTCTTAAAAGATCTTAAACCTTTAAAAAAAAAAATACCTTTTCCCATATAAACAGTCAAAACTCCTGCTTTGCTGATTTCCTAGATAGAGTTGGGATGGTGTCACAATTGACATGTGATTTTATTGACAGAAATCTGTTTCACTTGCTTGGCTGTGAAAGCTGGCCACTTTACGGTACATGGTGTTTATTCTCCATAAAGTGTCATTGTCCAACGATGATAAAAATCATTTTTAAAAATCACATAGAATACACTACAAAGAAACAAAAGGGTTAAAACCAAAGCAGAAAAGTAGGAGTACTAGGTCCACTGGAATTGTAGAGTGACAGGTTTGTTGTTCTCCTTGCCCCCCACTTTTGGAGATAGGGTCTCACTATGGATCCTTCCCTCGCCTGAAAGAACAAAACCCAACAAGACATTTCCTTTGTCATTATGATTGTTAAAAGGCTTTTAGTGCAGAAAAGGAATTTGTGGAGGTTGTTTTGTTGCTGACATAATTTTTTTTCCACTTCATATCCTTCAGATACTAGATTTGCGCTGCATCTTGGAATTCATCTACACTTAAAATGCCACCTGCTATTGGAGGACCAGTGGGATATACCCCCCCAGATGGAGGCTGGGGGTGGGCAGTGGTAGTTGGAGCTTTCATTTCTATTGGCTTCTCCTATGCATTTCCCAAATCCATCACTGTCTTCTTTAAAGAGATTGAAGTTATATTCAGTGCAACAACCAGTGAAGTGTCATGGATATCATCTATCATGTTGGCTGTCATGTATGCTGGAGGTGAGTACCCACCGCTCCTTTAACTTACATTAGGCAGCCAGAGTCTGGACATTTTAGTATCTTGCTCAGTGTTACTTCCTGAAGGGTTGTATTAAGCGTGCTTTTCATCCCTGATAACACTGGGCAGCTCTTACTCCCTCATTCCATTGTGGCTTTTTTGGAAAAAAATGAAATGCAAACCACATTTCTCTTGCTCTCTGCCAGATATTTGAAAAGGACTAGGCTTGTCCCACAAGCACAAAGAGGTGAGGACAACTGACTCCCTGTTTGGCTGGCATCCTCATGTGCATGTGCACACACCAAGAGACAAGCTGAATAACTTGTTTCTGTGATGTTATGAGTTCTAAAAGCATTTTCGCTGCACTTAAACTTGAATTGTATCTTTTTTCCTTTTTGTTTTCTTTGGCATGGTGTGGAGGCTATGTAGAAAGTAAATTGCTTATTTAAAACATGTTTATTTTACCTGGAGACATCAAACCACAATTAAACATAAAAGTTAAACCTACCATAAAACTTGAGGTTATTTCATAGGAATTCTAGGGCAAAGTATTTTTGTTTAGCTAGGTTGGCAGTGTTCCATGTTGTCCTGTGAGCTATCCAACAAGATAGTTTTTGCTAAGAATTTAGTGTCTCAGATCACACACACTCACATGTAGATCTTTAATAGCCAACAGTCTACTTTTCAGTGGAGAGTAACTTAGCCTTAGGCTGCGAAATTGGTAGCCGATTCAGCAGTCTTTACTAAGTCTCTCGAGTGGATTCAGCTCTGGGCTGCATGCTGTAGGAGAGAACACTAATTTTGCTGTTCTTTTTGATGTAATAAGCCCATGAACAAACAGCACTGTATAGTTGAAGTCATAATTTTTTCCAGGGTGGGGTGGGTAGTTTGGTTTTTTTTTTGAGACAGAGATTTTTTGTATAACTTTGTCTCTGCAGACTTGGCTGTCCTCCAACTTACAGAAATCCACCTGCCTCTGCCTCCCAAGTGCTTGAGTTAAAGGCACACAACACTGTCACCTGACTTGAAGTCATAATTTAATTAAACATGATTAAGTTAATTGATTAAAACAGGGATAAATGGACAGGAGCAGTAATTTGAAGACCTGCTTCTTCCTGTGTATCTTTTTATGTCTTTAACTTAAAAAAAATATGGGTATGAGTGTTTTGCCTGTGTGCTATGTGAATGCCTGGTGACTATGGAGGCTGAAGAGAGCTTCAAATCCCCTTGGACTGGAGTTACACTTGGTTGTAAATTGCCATTGGTGCAGAGAAGCAAACCTAGATCCTGGGGAAGTCAAGCTCTTAATCAGCTGTGCTATCATTCATTCCCTCCTCCCTTCCTGGTTTGTTTTTTGAGACAGGGTCTCTGTGTAGTAGTAGGGTTTAAACCAGTACCCCACCCCATGCTAGGATTTAAAGGCCTGTGCCACCATGCCTGTCCGGTCCCCTTCCCTTATCCCCCAACCCCCACCTTTGACACAGGGAATTAGCTCTGTAGACCAGGTTGGTCTCATTCACAGAGATCTGCCTTCCTCTACTGCACCACCTCATTTTTTAAAAATACAGTTCTCATTATGTAGGCCTAGATGTCTTTGAATTCACTATATAGATCAAGCTAGCTTACCTCTGCCTTGGGTAGACCTATGTCACTGTTGCTGTTAACTTTGTTAACACAGGTTTCTGGGCTATTTGTTTTTAAATAAGTTTTGAGAGCTAAATTATATCACTTTAAGGTTTTGATTTTTATGTGTGATATCTTTGTCTCTGTTTTTGTGCATGTGAATCTAGTGGTCATAGAGGCCAGAAGACGGCATTGGATCCCTCAAAGATGTGGACAGTTATAAGCTGCCAAATATTGGGTGCTGGCAACTGAACTCAGGTCCTCTAAAAGAGCAGCAAGTACTCGTAGTCACTAAGCCATCTCTCTAGTCCTAGAAATTAGAGTTTTCAAGGGACAAGCCCTGGCTGTCCTGTAACTTGCTATATAGACCATTCTGACATTCAGAGTCACAGAAATCCTCCTGCCTCTTCTTCCTCCCAAAGGCTTAGATTAAAGATGTGAAGCACTACACCTGGCCAAAGGAAAAAAGATCTAAGTTGCTTTTGATTTGTTTTTCCCTTTTTTGAGGAGTTCAAATATTATAAAATTAGCAACACTAACCTAAACTTCATAGAACACTAGTGTTGCAATATTTATTTTAGAATTCTGACTATGTAAAGCCATATAAATAATTTGTATGAAAATGTACAGATATTCTATCAATGTCCTATACAAACAGGAGCTTAAGTTTTCAAGTGACTTGTGATGTCATAAACTGGCTATTTTCATTCCTTAGGCTTCTGGTAAGGGCCTATTCCTTGTAGCCAGTGCCTGCTAGCTGCCTCATGTGACAGAAGAGAAGATATGTTCCCTCAGGCCTCTTTCAGAAAGATACTTGATAAACTCACGAGGCTCTGACCTAATTATTTCCTAAAGCTCTTGCCTCTCAATACTCAGTGCTTTTGGTTTTCGGTTGAGTTTTAACATGATTTTTTTTCCTCTACCATATGAGGATGGAACCCAGTCATCTGCTGTAACCAAGCAGGTTCTAGTATCCTGTAAATAGGCATATCTATGAAGTGTGAAACTCAACTGTTTTTTTAATTCCAAATAAATGAATTTAATACTTCATTTTGTAATCAGCAGAAACGTTTGTTGGAGTTTGAAGATGTGCCTCACCCAGTGGCATAAAATGCAGTTGTCAGGCTTATGAACCATGGGATGGACTCATTAGTTTTCTAGTTGAAATGATCCACCTTCGAATTTGGCCTTTCTTTATGGATATGAGAATTTGTACTACTACATTTTTGATTCTCTCCTAGGTCCTATCAGCAGTGTCTTGGTGAATAAATATGGCAGCCGTCCAGTAATGATCGCTGGTGGCTGCCTGTCTGGTTGTGGCTTGATCGCAGCTTCTTTCTGTAACACGGTGCAGGAACTTTACTTGTGCATTGGTGTTATTGGAGGTGAGTGACACTGGTTTATTTATTGTCAATATTTGATAATACACTTGTCATTTTAGAGAACTGCTCATTAGCTGAGCACTAGTGAGGTGATTCAGAGTGTAAAGGAAACCTGAGTCTTTCCCTGACCCATGTGGTGTAAGGAATGAACCAAATCTGGTAGGTACAGCCCTCCACTCTCACACCATCATCTGGGCATGCACATACACACATAAAATTGTTTTATTCATTTAGAAGACAGGGTCAACTGTGTAGCCTTGGCTGGCTTGAAACTTGCTATGTAAACCAGGCTGGCTCAGATTCATCTGCCTGCCCCTGCACCATGCTGGGATGGAGTAAACTACTGCCATACAATATGTAGTTATTGCTAATTTATTTTAAGAGATGATTGTATCATTTTAGAATAGACAGTGGTAGCGGGCAGGGTGGCACATGTAATCCCAGCACTCAGGAAGCAGAGGCAGGCAGAGGCCAGCGTGGCCTACAGAATGAATTCCAGGATACCGAGGGATGGTGAGATAAAGTTTATGCAGTGATTCGTGGAAGGGTGGTCATTGGCTATTCTCTTCTTACCTCCTTTTCCCATGAACAATAGGCTTTTATTACATTAGCACAGGATGCTACCCAATTGACACTTCTGAAGGTTAAAGGTCTTCTCAGTTTTTATTTGGTCATCAAATTAAGAAAATGAGCTTTTGAATATTATAGCATTCAAATGTATGGTCTGCCATACATTTGCTTCAGTATATAAAATTAACTGTTTTTGTTTGCTTGTTTAGACCAAAGAGGATGAGATTTTGTGTATTTTGTCATCATTTTCTTTTAGTTAACTGTGTATTGTGAACAGCTTTTATTAATAGCATTCAGTGTTTGAGACAGAATAAAGTTTGCCGTGTCCAGCCCAGCTCCAGGAGTTGCTCTTATTTGGGGCAGTGAAGGAATGAAGGAAAGGACACAGTACATACAGAGTAAAGCTGAGGTTAGGGAACTCTAGAAATCTCAGCATGGTTATTATATACAGTTGAATAAGGACACAGTGTTAATTGTACATAGCTGTATCAAGACAGGGTTTATGGTGTATAGCTGGATCAAGGAGATGGGTTTAGCTAGGTTACAAGCATCACAGTTCCTGGAGCTGGAGTTACAAGGGTGTTATAAGCTTCCCAGTGTGAATAATGGGACTTCTGACTCGGGTCCTCTGCAGACAGTACATGCCTTAGGCACTGGACTATCTCTTTAACCCCATTTACTCCAATGTCTTTGCTTGGTAAGTAGTGTCAAAGATTATGTTCAATGTCTGTTTATGACAGTGTGCTGTCTGTGCTCCTTTCCCTAGGTCTTGGGCTTGCTTTCAACTTGAACCCAGCTCTGACTATGATTGGCAAGTATTTCTACAAGAAGCGACCATTGGCCAATGGACTGGCCATGGCAGGCAGCCCTGTGTTCCTCTCTACCCTGGCTCCACTTAATCAGGCTTTCTTTGGTATTTTTGGCTGGAGAGGAAGCTTCCTAATTCTTGGGGGCCTCCTCCTAAACTGTTGTGTAGCTGGATCCCTGATGCGACCAATAGGGCCTGATCAAGTCAAGCTAGAAAAACTCAAGTCCAAAGACTCTCTACAGGAAGCTGGAAAATCTGATGCAAATACAGATCTCATTGGAGGAAGTCCCAAAGGAGAAAAGCTATCAGTCTTCCAAACAATTAATAAATTCCTGGACTTGTCCCTGTTTACCCATAGAGGCTTTTTGCTGTACCTGTCTGGAAATGTGGTCATGTTTTTTGGACTCTTTACCCCTTTGGTCTTTCTTAGTAATTATGGTAAGAGTAAGCATTTTTCCAGTGAGAAGTCAGCCTTCCTCCTTTCCATTTTGGCATTTGTTGATATGGTAGCCAGACCATCCATGGGACTTGCAGCCAACACCAAGTGGATCAGACCTCGGATCCAGTACTTTTTTGCTGCTTCTGTTGTTGCAAATGGAGTGTGCCATTTGCTAGCACCTTTGTCTACAACCTACGTTGGGTTCTGTATCTACGCGGGAGTCTTTGGATTTGCCTTTGGTTGGCTCAGCTCCGTATTATTTGAAACATTGATGGACCTCGTTGGACCCCAGAGGTTCTCCAGTGCTGTTGGCTTGGTGACCATTGTGGAATGCTGTCCTGTCCTTCTAGGGCCACCACTTTTAGGTATAGTATGTCTCCCTACATTTTAGGTTCTGATCTGGTTATAAAACTAATGTGTAAAATACAGCTCTACCTTTAAAGCACAATTGAAGACTGCATTTTAATAATAGGATACATTTCAGTAGTAGTCAGGTAGAAGTGTACCTCTTTCATTCCCATGAAAGTGTACTAGTGACTGTCCTAACCACTGTGCATCTTGGACTCACAAAGCTTAGGATTATTTTAGTAGCAGTTCCATAGATAATTCTGTTCAGTTACAGTAGTTTATGAATCTTTATATAATTTGAGAGCTTGGGTTACTAAACTTTTTCTTTGGGTGTTTTTTGTTTGAGTAGTATTTGTTTTATATTTGGTTTGGGATTTTTCAAAGCAAAGTTTATGTATAGCTCTGGCTGTCCTGGAATTCTGTAAACCAAGCTGGCCTCAAACTCTGCCTCCCAAGTGCTGAGATTAAAGGCATGCACCACCACTGCCTGGCTTAAACTCTTTTTTAAAATCCCATCGTGATGGTGCACGCCTGTTATTCCAACACTTGGAAGCTGATGCAAGATGATTGTGAGGTCAGGATCAGCATTGGCCTGCACAGCAAGATCTTCACAAATGTTCCAACTTCCTTTTAGATAGTGGTGGTTAATTTATAGATAAGATTTTGACCAACTTACTTTAAAATTCTTTTTTTTTTTTTTTTTTTTAAAGATTTATTTATTTATTATATATGAATACACTGTAGCTGTCTTCAGACACACCAGAAGAGGGCATCAGATCTCATTACAGATGGTTGTGAGCCACCATGTGGTTGCTGGGATTTGAACTCAGGACCTCTGGAAGAGCAGTCAGTGCTCTTAACCACTAAGCCATCTCTCCAGCCCTTACTTTAAAATTCTTACGGCTTCCAAGGCTCTGCAGAGCGTGGCCCTGTCTGTCTCTCCAACCTGTTTTCTACCCTGACCTCTTGCTTTCTGATCTAGGACCTAACCCTTTTCTGTTTTTCTGCTCATAACCCTGTGCCTTTGCAGTGGCTGTTCTGCCTGGATCCTCTCTATCTTCTTTTCCTTGACAGGTCCATCTTCCTGCTGTCTCTGCTTCAAAAGAAGCAGCATTCACCCTATTCACTAGTCTCCACCGCCCACGTTCTAGTCCCAGAACTCTCCCTGTAGCACTTGTCAGTTTGTGTAATACCCATATAGAGTTCCTTTCAAATTGGTCAGGTGACATCATTGCCATCAAACAACACAAGGTTTTGGGAGAGGATGTATATGATGAGCCATTTTCCAAATTCATTTGGTGTCAAAACAGTAGAGAGGCTTCCTGTAGCAGGGAGGTAGCAGGTGCAGGCCTCAACTCAGAGCCTTGTGTTCCTTACTAGTCTGTGACCTTGAAGCAGTTACTTCCTGCTGCTGTACTTGAATTTCTGTAACTGCTAGAAGATACATTGTGGATTTGGTGCTGAGAGTGTGCTATTGGCTACAGAGCAGTGTTCTCAGGAAGTACTGATAAAGAACTTTGGCCTTGGTGACTGGAGTAGATCTATGTGGCCTTGGACACTCTCAAACTTCCTTTGAATTACAGTCTTGCCCTTTGTGGAGTGAGAATGGATTATGATCTCTGACTTTTATCATTGAGATTTGCCAAGAGTTAGTTGTTGCTGATTTGAAAGTAGAAAACACAAGGCCAGTCAAAATCAGAAACTCTATAAATAGAAAATCTTGTAGCTCATTTTTTGTACTATGTGTAGTTCGTGGGCTCTTTGAAGGTTGCTTTGGCATCTTTCTGAGTAGATCCTTGCACTTTAGGAGGTGTCTTTGTTTGCTCTTACCACATAGCCTTGTCTTCTGCATCTTTAGGCCGCCTCAATGACATGTATGGAGACTACAAATACACGTACTGGGCCTGCGGTGTGATCCTCATCATCGCGGGCGTCTATCTCTTCATTGGCATGGGCATCAATTATCGACTTGTGGCCAAGGAACAGAAAGCGGAGGAGAAGCAGAAAAGGGAAGGTAAAGAGGACGAGACCAGCACCGATGTGGATGAGAAGCCAAAGGAGACGATGAAAGCAGCACAGTCGCCGCAGCAGAGCAGCTCCGGGGACCCCGCAGAGGAGGAGAGTCCAGTCTGACCTGTGAAGCATGAAGAGAGCAGCGTGTGACCCACGACATCCGAAACATCCTGCTGGCCTCTAGTCTACCAGTGGTGCTCAGTGCAGACAGTGGACATTTGTGTGGAAAACCTACCAGGTGTTCATTGGTGGGATTTTTTTTTTCACTCCTTACCAATGCCTGAATTTAAAATATACAATGCTTTCGGTAGGGAGTGGTTGGCAAAGGATATGGGAAAGAAGTAGTGATTTTTTGTTTGTTTGTTTGTTTTGTTTTGTTTTAATCTTAGCTTTTAACAGTGTCATGAAGATTATAATATGTGCCTTAAATTTTAGTTTTTAGAACTCTTTAGAGAGCCTTAACTTTTAAAACCATTCTGCTGAATTCATCTGTTTTAATTGTCATTTTAAAAGGAAAAATAACAACTAGCTTGCTTGAGGTAACTAACCTTAATCTTGTTTTGTTGTTGTTTGTAGTGCTTTGTCAGACATTGTTACCAGAACATTTGTGAATAGAAATATTGGTCAAAAGTCGCAGGTTTATAAAACACTGACTAAAGTATTTTTCTAGCATTATAGTTGCCTGGCATATCTGCCTGCTAGGTATATATTTAAGAAATTTGAAGCATAAAATTCTGGGAACATCTTGGCAGTTCCAGCCACAGCCTGTCACCTACTGGGCACCTCTTCTCAAATGCTTACTACAGCCTCATGCTAAAATGTTATCACTAAATTGTTACCTTTGTTCCTATTCACAGACACTGAGTGGTTAGAGGTAATTGGCCATTTTTGAAATCAACTGCAAAAAGTTAGTATTAACATCTACAAAACAATTCCTTAATTGTTTGATTTAATGTAGACAGTATTTCTGGCATCAGCTGAATTCAGCATAGGTTTTCCCAAAACCTTGGTTATGGTGTGAGAATCTTAGGGTATGTGTGGGTTTGAGGGGCTTTGAGGTCTTGGTTTTTAGGATTGAACCCAGGGCCATAAGCATGCTAGGCATATGCTGTACCACTGAGCCACAACCCACAGGCACCCTGGAATCCTTCTCCTTAACCCAACCCCTGAAACCCTTTCTCTTGATTTTTTGATAGTTTCATTTATATTATTACTAGTTTAGAGCTGTATGTGAGATATTCAGTACAGACTGAATGTATGTGCTTTTTGTTTTTTACATTGTTTTTCAGTATTTGCAAAACCAAGAGGGTCAGTGTTTGGCCTCAGGGAAGCCAATAAAGATAACTAGGGAGGAAGTTGGCGAGTACAGTAAGTGCCCACCTCCCTGCCATACACCAAGGCTTAAAGAGGAATTTCTATCATGCTTACAATTATTTGACATAGTCTTACCTCCACATCTTAACTTTCATGACCCTTTCACTTACCAGAAATGTAGGAAAATGGGTTCAACGTAAGGATAGGAGGAAAGATGGACCAGATTGGAATTATAGTGTTTTTTTTTTTTTTAACCTGATGTCTTCTGAATAGAGGCAGAAAAAAATAAGACATATGACACTGAATTGTACTCAATGTGTTTAAAATACCATTGTAATTGACAGGGTGAATATAGATTTAAAACCTTGTGTAAGAAGCTGACTTTTTCCAAATAAAACATTTATTTTATTTTTAGAAAACAGCTCTTCCACATGTTTATTTGTAGGACATAGTGTGTCTTCATTTTTATTAATTTTTATCTTAACTTCTCTAATATTGAGTCATCAGTTTATATGCCTTGACTTGTAGATATGGTTTATTTTATGTTGCTTTTTCTCCTTTAGTTAAGTAAGACACAGAGGGAAGGATTTTAAGGCCACATCTTGAACTGATCCCCTGATGCAGTTAGCCTTAAGACACCGTGGAAACCGCCTGCAGTGTATAGTGTTGTGGTGAGAATTTAGAGAGGAAATCTTGAAAGTTTAGGCAGACTTCACCCTAGTTTGGACTCTGCTATCTTCTGTGAAGCCATGTCATTCATACTTCTGTGAACCTTTCTCTTCTATAAAAATGAAAGTCTTAGCCAGGCAGTGGTGGTGTATACCTTTAATCCCAGCACTTGGGAGGCAGAGGCAGACGGAAAGTCTCCGTTGATGGTGGAATTTTGAGCCGTGTGTGTGTGTGTGTCTAAGGATTCCCTTCTCAGATGCTGAAACTGCATTTGCTGGGTAGGTGTGCCTGTGCTCAGGGTTGAGCCCCAGGATTTATGATGCAGGTTCACCAACACTCTTCAGAAAGTGTTCTGAGTTACTTTATAGTCCAAAGCCAAACTGTGATAAAACTAGAACTTGTATTCCCATTAAAGGAACATTGGGTCCAGCAATTGCTCTGTCGCTGGGCTATAACCACAGTCCATAGGATTTACATAAGACCAGGGTTAGTGAAGCCTGGGTGGCACTTAGCAGAGGCCTTCTGTCCCTTCCTCATTCCGTATGTATTGGCTGTCAGCTGTGCTATAAAGCAGGCCTGGGTGCAGTGGGCGCTCTGATCCTTGTCCGTCACTCCTTTGAATGCTGACCTTGTTTCAAGTTCTTTCAGTTCGCATAGTTGTAGCTGCTGGGTAAGGGACGTGAGCACAGCATGAACCATCATATTCTGCAGAGTAGGAAAATTATTTAACAACAGTTTCATTCAAATCATTAAACTTAACCATACTGATCAGTATCGTGTCGGGTCAAATCTGGAAATTAACATCTTCACCATCTAAGATGAATAGTTTGTACAAAATTACATTTTGATTTTTTCAGTTTATAATTAAATCATTTTCCCCTTTCCTCCCTCAAACCCCTCCCATGTATATCCTTCCTGATTCTCATTTGAATTCATGACTTCTTTATAATTGTTAAATGTGTATATGTGTTCCTAAATATATAAATACAACCTGCTCAGTCCATATGATGTTACTTGTGTACATCTTTAGGGCTGACCAGTTGGTAGTGAATAACCAGTTGGTGTGTTCTTTCCTGAGGAAGGCCTCCTTCCACATCAGCATGCCTGCCTATTGTCATTATTCATGTGTGGTAGATTTTATTTGAGACGAGGTCTCACTCTGTACATAAGACGGGCCTAGAACTAAAGATCCGACTGCCTCTGCCTTCCAAATGCTGGCATTAGAGGCAGACGCTATCTTATGTTGAATTTCAGTGTGACAGACTTGATATTGGCTGCATGTTTGAGTCTCACCCTCCCTAGCACATGGTTTACTATATAACAAATCAGGCACGGTGCCTGGAAGACATGAAGAAAGAAGTTAATGATGGACTCGGGTAACTGAATGATGTTTGACTAGATGGGAAATGACAGCTCAAGCTTGCCTGGCCTAAGACCAAGTTGTATCTGGGTTAGAGTGATGGGGGTGGTTTGAGCCAGTGATGAGTTTGAGCACATTACTTTTTGACACAGGGTCTCTATATAGCTTGGCTGTCCTTGGAGCTCTGTGTAGCCCAGGCTGGCCTCAACTCAGATACATCTGCCTTTGCTTCCCAAGTTTGGGATTAAAAACCCTTTGCAGGAGGCATTTAGACTCAGTCATTGCTTACTCCATTTGGGCCCCAGTGTCTGCACTATTGGTGGCATCAACTCAAAGGTGCAGGCAATAGCCCTTTCAGTATAGACTATGGAGGTTGGCTGGTTTGGTTTTTCTGTTTGGGTTTTCTTTGGTTTTTGAGTCTGTATACATGTGGTGTGTACACTTTATGTGAAATCTAAACTCAAGAGTCTTCAAGCTTGCTCATTGAGTCCTCTTATAGCGAGCCATCATTTCAGCCCCTAAAAGTACCAAATATGAAGGATATTGGTTTCCTTTGTACTGACTGTTCTCCTGTTTTTCTGGGTTCAAGTTAAGGCTCAAACAAGTTCTAAGCATCAGAATGTTTTATGTCAAGTTTGCTCACCTGATTTATTGTGATACTCCCTCCGTGGGGAAGAAATGCCCTCCTCACACTAAATAGGCTTCTGTATGACTGTAATGATTCAACAGCAGAAGAAATAAAAAGTGTTCTGTCCCTGGCCAAGTCCTTAAGTCTAGATTCAAAAATGGAAGTTTATCTCCTTACTCCTTCAGTGGGTTAGTCACTTGTTTTGAAGTTCTGGAGGTAGAATCCAGAGCCTTGTGCTCTCAAGACAAGCATTCTACCACCAAACTGCTTCTCCAGCCAGTGATGAGGGGGTTTGGTTAGGTTTTGGCTTGTTTTAATTCTACCCCACAACCATGCTGGATTTTGTTTTCCATATAATTGTGTTGCTGTTAATGCTGTATTAGGGTATTGAGCCGAAAAGTACATACATACTAGGTCCATGTTTTACCACTGAGTCCTAATCCCAACCCTAAAAGAAAAATGTAATATAGCCCTGGCTTTCAAGAGGGGATTTAAAAAAGAAGAAATGTCCTAATATGCTTTCAATAAGAAAACAGTTGTCTCCTGGGCACATGAAGCCAGAGTTGAGTGTATTAAAGGCAGGAAGATAACGAGTTAGGTCAGAGGAGCTGGAGAGATAGCTCAGGGCTCAAAAGTACTCCTGCCCTTTAGAGAATCTAAATTTGGTTCCTAGCACCCAGATCAGACAGCTAACAACTCTCTAACTCCTGCTCCAGGAGGCCTGACACCCCCAAAATAAAATATTACAAATCTGGAGGTCAGCTGGACATTCTAACAAACAACTTTAATCCCAGCACTTGGGCAGCAGAGGCAGGCTAGCCTAGTCTATAGAGTAAGTTCCAAAACGTCCAGGGCTACACGGAGAAACCTGTATTGAAGACAACAAAAAAGCTGGAAGTCAAGCCTAGGCTACATGAGATCTTGCCTCAGAAAATTACAGGTTTATTTGTTTGTTTTTGATAGGGGCTTGTTTTGATTGAAACTAGAACCCTAGCTAGGAAAGTACATCCTTAGCTGGGCGGTGGTGGCGCACGCCTTTAATCCCAGCATTTGGGAGGCAGAGGCAGGCAGATCTCTGAGTTTGAGGCCAGCCTGGTCTACAGAGTGAGTTCCAGGCAGGACAGCCAGGGCTATACAGAGAAATCCTGTCTCAAAAATACCAAAAAAAAAAAAAAAAAAGTACATCCTTGACCTTTTTTAAAAAAAAAAAAAAAAAACCAGTCTGAACTTGAAATCCATATCCTAGCTAGTCAGGTTATTGTTTTTTCTACTTCAAGAATTGCAGTCTGAGAAAATTGAGTTGAACATGTCGTCGTGTGTGTGTGTATTATAATGTAACTCAGGGCAGGATTGCTGGGACTGGATGAAAGCTGGAGTATATTATCTGCCTCCTGAGCTAACCCCAGGACTTTTTTCCAAGTAAGCAGATGTCTTGGAGTCTGCATTCCTATGGTTCCCTTCTGAGCAGCCAGTCCCAGGTGAATGATTAACCACAGGACTCAACCCTCACAGCGCTGGTGTGGAGCATAGCTATCCTGAGATCAGCATCAGAAATAAATTCTAATGACACAAAAGGGTAGGGCTGAGAATAGCTCAGTCAGTGATAGGGTTGCATGCCTTGCATGCAGTAGGCAACAGGCCCAGTCCCTAGGACAAAGAAAAATAAATATCTTCATAGGGATCCTACAGTCTACTCCTACCTCTCATGTGTCCCAGGCAGGTGCCCTCAAACTCACTGCATCAGTGAGGTTAATCTTGGGACTTCAGATCCTCTTGTCTCTAATTCCTACTGGGTGTATAAGCATTTGCTGGATCTAGTTGATGAAGATTGAACCCCAAACCTGATAGGTGTTGGGTAAGCACTTTACCAACTGAGTTACATCTGCCCAGAAGTGCTTCAGAAGAAATGCTGTGAGGAGTGTGTGAAAGTGCCCACCATACTGTTGCGTGTAAAAGAAACCTAGGCACCAGGCGTGATGGCTCATACCTGTATAATCCAGCACTTAGAAGGTTTTAGGAGAGGCAGGCAGTGGTGGCACACACCTTTAATCCCAGCACTTGGGAGGCAGAGGCAGGCGGATTTCAGAGTTCGAGAGTTCGAGGCTAGCCTGGTCTATACAGAGTGAGCTCCAGGACAGCCAGGGCTACACAGAGAAACCCTGTCTCGAAAAAGTTTTAGGAGAAGGATTTTTGTCAGTTTGAGGCCAGGAGGCTGCAGAATAAAATAGTTGGTAATGTGTTTGCCTCATCAATAGGATTTTAAACCCTAGAACACATTTTAACTGGTCTGCTTAAAATCCCCAGTACCTACCTGGGAGGTATGATCCCTGGGCTCAGTGCCTAGCCAGTCTAGCCCAATCGGTGAGATCAATGAGAAGCCCTGCCTCAAGGGAAGGAGATAATGTTCCTGGAGATGAGGCTGTCTCCTGGTGTCCTTGTTCATGTATATTCCCCATACACAAAGCATACTCATTAAAAAAAAAAAAAAAAAAAAAGAACAAAAAAGGCTGGGGAATGGTGAATGCCTTTAATCTCCAGAGGCAGGCAGTTCTGAGTTTGAGGCCAGCCTGGGCTACATACACATAGAAACCCTGTCAAGAAAGGAAGGAAGAAAAATAATACATGTGAATCTGAATGTACTGGAATATTCTGCAGTGCAAATATGCAGTGTAATAGCAAGTCAGTTTTGGGCCTAGAAACAATGAGTAAAGGGCAGCTGGTAAGGGCGGAGCTTGTTGGTTAACAAAGGTTTTCAAATATATTC